CAGTGACTAATTGTGACCAAGTGTGTATTCAATGTGAGTAACTGTGACCAAATTAGTGTTCAGTATGACTGTCTGTGACCAATTTTGTGCTAATTGTGATCAATTGTGACTTGATTATGATCAAGTCACAATCTGTCACAATTAGCACAAAATTTGGTCACAACCAGTCACAGTACACACATATTTGGTCACAAATGGTCACCACAAACAAATCTGCCGACGCCACGAACCACCACCAGTCATCACATTTATTTAACTCCCAAATTCCATTATAGGGAAAAAGTGCACTTTTATTCTGCCGTTATCATTAAAAGAGTTCATACATTATCGCATCCAATTCTAACTGTATAAATACCATAAGAAAACTAGTCACAATTGGCCACAACGAGTCACAATTAACCGGTCATAACAAAAAAAACCAATTACCCTTCAGCATAACAAAAAATACCAAGATACACAACAATCTTCTCAACCCATCCTTCATCGTTGCAGCCATGACACCTTTAGAATTCTATTCTCATCCAGTAATAGATTTTCTATTTCAAATTAAGTGGTAAACATAGATTTGAGTTACCAACGACAGAGAAATCCACAATGGTAAACATGAAACTGACACAATGCTTAGGCCTAGGTCCCCTATTACTCACACCATTATCTACACTCCCACTACCACTTGCCGAGCTATTATCGCGATCGATAAGAAGATTGCTCATCAACAAACCCCACATCAAACACAGGATGACACTGTAGATCAATTGACAACGCTCGCAGTTGCTTGCAGCATCGTGATTTCGACATCGCTATAGCAGCATCGTTGGCGGCATCGCTCTGGAATCGACGTCACTGTAGCAGCATCGCGATTCGACGCTTGTCTTGCAATGCCTCACGATTCGACGCTCGTCTTGCAATGCCTCCGACGACGGTGTGTTGCCAAGAGAACGAAGTTGCGATTCTGACGCTCATCGCTTGTCTTGCCGTGCCTCTGATAGTAGTGTGTCATCAAGAGAGGAGGGTAGAGAGTGAAGAAAGAGAGAGACGATAGAGAGAAGTGATTTGGAGATAGGGGTGCTGAGGGTAGGATTGAAATTTGGGGGTGGATGTGTGGTTATGTTACAATAAATCTATATTAATTAAATTAATAATTCTTAATTAACACCTGATATATGAATTTAAAACTAATTCCCCTTATTTATGAAAATTAGTTTTTAAAAGTAGAGATCCAGGTAATTTTCTCAATTTTTACCTAATGTTTTTACCAAATTGACAAGTGACGGCCCCCCTAGTGGGGAGCGCCTGTGGGCCCAAGCCCCTCAATAGGAAGCCGTCACTTGTCAATTCGGTAAATCATTAAGTAAAACATTATGTACAAATTGAATTTTCCTCACATTATATTAAAGAAATAAATTCGTGACAAAACTTGAAAGATTTGAATGATGAACGCGAAGATCAACTTGATAAAATAGATATGTACGACTTCGAAGGCATGGAGACGTAATAAAACGTGCTTCCACATCAATGAAGATATTTTGAAGGAGTAAAATTCACATATATGATCTCATCCCAGTGGACAAAATAAAAACTTGACACGACTACTATGACAAGAATCATACATAGGACCATACCTATAGTTCTCGTCACATTGGAAAATTTTTATATTTTATTATGTAAAGGACATGGTTATATATTATAATGGGAGAACTGTGCCAATATTCGCTCAATCTTTATACTGTAGTACGTTGTACAACTTATTCCTGGAGCACCATCTTGCCCTACCTGCTTCTTAGCTTTTTTTCCAAACAACTTTCATATAAAAAGAAGAGAAGGCTGAAGTATAGAGGGAGTCCAAACAAGCAAAGCACGGGAAACACCCAACCACAAAAATCCCTCTTGCTTATTTGGACTTTGGACAAGCGAAAACCTAAATAAAAACGACCTTTTTCATCCACTTGTAATATCGTCATTGGGTCACCTCGACCACCATACGGGACTAATAGAGCTTCTTGGTATACACAAATTCTGGTTTAACATGTTACATGTCAACCAAACAAAACAGTACAATCCTTAACTAGAAAAAGTCTTCTGGAAGATCTCATTTTGGATTCAAAATGGAGCGGTTGATGTTCGACGGAGAGTTTGCTTTGTGGGATCTTGAGCAGCAGCAGCTGCTAGATATAACTGCCATAACCCAAGTGCACAACACTCAATTAGGACTATGTGGTGCACAAATTTTAGTGAGATTAATGATAAATACTTCAGTTAAGCGGTTGTGTACACAAGTAATAGGATTGTTCACTCAAATCACGCCTCCAACCACTCAAGTCACTCCGCCTTGGACATTGAATGAGCTCGGGTCCATTGTGTCGCGATTTGAGTAAACGATCCAACTACGTATACATTCAGAAAAGTCCACTGAAACTCTCGAGATTGAAGGGGCGGGGTTTCCTTTTATCAACTACTAAATTATAGATATCTACCTGTTGTTGCTGTTTCTTGAGCCTGGCATTCTCTTCCAGCAGGTGGGCCACTTCTTGCTCTAGCTCATTCGTATAAGCCTATAATAAGGTGGAATGAATAAGAAACAAGACAGGAAAAAGGGCAACGGAATACTAAAAAATAAGCATTCAATTTAAAGATGAGAAAGTTTAAACACCAGGCAAATCTTTGGTACTTAAACTTCAAGCAGCCTACAAAATCTATTCTATAACATGACCTCACAGTTAAAACTAACAAAAGGGTACATACTGATGCAATCAAATACCAGAAAGGATAATAAAAAGGCCAATAAAAGAGTATAAAAGGAGACTTTCCTGCTTTCTAGCCCTTGATCGAGCAGCTGACTCCCGGTTCTTGATCATACGCTTGTGTCGTCGATCACCGTCAAAATTGCTGCCAGGCTCCGTGAACCTCTTCTTCCCATGACCCTCAGAAGCCACAGTTACACAACACGAAGGAGAAATAGTCTGAGGCTGTGGATGAGAGGTTTGGATAAGAGGATCTGAGTTTCCGAAGAAATGGAACCGTTCAGGTATTGAGTTCAAGGTGAGCATAGTTGTCGGATGTGGCGGCGCCGGAGATGCAAAACCAGAAGAGACGCTAGCAGTGGGTACTGAATCTTTATTAGAACAGGGTCTGGCCAAGAAATCTTGAAGGATCATTCCACGGAAGTCTGTGGGGTGGTCGTTAAGAGATGCAAGATTGATATCGTCCCAAACTTCTTCCATGGCTTTGAATCTTGAATTTATGTCTACATTTAGAGAGGCAGAGGAAGGGGAAATGGAGAAACTATTAGAATATAGGGTTAGAAATATGTGTTAATTGAGCACAAGTCCACTGGTTTCAGGGTTTAGTAGTGCTTGATCTGCTTCTGTGAAGGAAAATGGTTGTCTGAATCTCTGTGAATTGTCTTGTCTAAACGGTGCAAAGTACACACGTCGATGTGTGACACTTCGGCAGATCAGATTTCAGACTTTCAATATGGAGCCCTAGCATGTTTAACCATTTTCTAATGGCTTGTCTGAGACCTAGTTTGCACACAATTTGGTGGTACAAATCCCTAGTGATTCTTGATATTATTTATGAAAAAGAAACTAATATGTGAAGATTTTTTAAAATAATATCCTATGACAAGTAATATTTTTGAATAATGTGTGATTAAAAAGTAAAAAAAAAATTGTAGATCTATATGCAAAATTATTTTATTATGAGAATGTTTGATTAAAAACAAGTTTTTTAAAAAAATTTAGAAAATGAGACCAAACAAATGTAATAATTTGATTAGCTCTCAGGCTTTGGGTCCCTATTTTGGAGATGGGTAATTATATTACTACTACAAAATTTACTTATAACACCACATAATTTAATATATTTTTAATAAATACACCACAATAAATTTACAATTATACTCCTAATCCAATAAAAATTTAAAATGAAAAAATAATAATCCAGTATTGTCGTGTATTCATCATCTCAATGTTACTCCTCATTTTTCTCATATATAATTTCTTGATTTTTCTAAAGAGTAATGTTATTTAGCCTCACTGAGATTTTCACGCTATTGTCACAAATTTTTTTCCGTTTTTGCAAGTCTAAATCGTGTTTCCGTTACTCTGAATCGGGTGAAATAACATCTGCCATTATATACCTAAAGATCGCGGACTTCTTGGTGGGGGGATCCAAAATAATTATTGCAGAATAATATTTAGAAATTATAAGAAATTCTGCCATTACTTTGAAGAAAGAGGATGTTTTCATTGAATGTATCAACCACTGATGTTGTCAGAAATTCGACTATCCCAATCGAAANATACATTTTAAACTAATTAAACATTTTAGTAAAGTAATAATTACGTCCTAATCTAAAATATTAGCTAAAACTCTTCATCTCCCACACCTCACATCACCCCACTCCACCACTGACACCACACCACACCTCAAATCCATAACCATCACCTCCACCTCAAATACGCCACCACCACCATCACCTCCACCACACCACGACCATCACCACCACCACCTCACCTTCAAGTTATTACCAACTTCCAGTTTCAACTTCGAATATTTACGGAAATGACACTTGTGGTACTCTTTGTATCGGCGATGAAACTCGTTGGAATTCTGATTTCCGTCACCGTCTCCGCCAATGCCTTTTCCTTCTCCGGGTTCCAAAAAAAGAACCTGAAGCCTTTTCGTTCTTCTATCGACGAGTCTTCTGATATTCTTGCCGTATTCAACGTCAATCCGACCGCCGATAACTTCATTTTTTTTCCTTTATCCTTTTGTATTAAATGGGTTTTCCTTGAATATTAAGTATACATTAAAAAAAATCTGTTTAACTGCGAAAAAAATTTAAAAAGTTGTAGGGGCGGTTGGGCGCCCTCGGCCAATTTTCAATTTTCTGTTATATATATGTTGATGTGTATTCGATGCAGTTTTTATCCTTTTTTTTGTTGATTTAATACAGCCAGAGGAAGTGCTGGTGGTGGAGAATGTATAGTGCGTGGATAATACATAATCATCATCTGAAGTCCATTATGATATTCCATTATAATTAAGAATTGAACAAACAGTCAAAGTTGATTTTTTCTTTTTTTTTTTTTTGCCTCAAAATTTGTGCGTTATCTTCTTCTTCCCCTTCCTCTTTTATCCTGATATTTACCTATTTTCTTTTGTGCTGTCCTTGCATGTCAAATCATTTTTTTGGTGGCACTTTTTGTTTAATTATATCTGGGATTCTCTATTTCATTTAGAATATTCAGTTTGATGATAAAGGAACGATCTTGGAGTTGTTGGAGAGTTTGAAAACGACACCGTCGATCGTCGGGATGCATAACAATGACGACAACCGTACAATTCGGAGGAGACCGGCCATCGCTGTTGAGAAAATACCGAAGTCTGATTTTAATGCGGTAAATGAAGACTCGGAGAATATTGATGAGATCAGAAATGGCTGTGGTGGTGTCGTGGAATCGGAGGAGAGTGAAGAGTTGATAAATAACAAGGAGGTGGAGGATAAAAAAATCAAAGAGAATGGAGAAAGTAGTAAAGGGATGGAGGCATCCGCCGTGAAATTCTCTTACCAGCCATTAGCACCAGCTCACTGGAGAATTAAAGAGAGTCCTCTCAGTTCTGACCATCTTCAAACAAGTTTGCCTTGTGTTTGCTTTGTTCAAGTACCTTCCATTGTACGCAGTGTATGCGTCTACCTATATGTTTACTTATTGTTTTTTCTTTGCATTCATTTTCATACCTTATTTGATTTAGATGAGGATTAATGAGTACAGTTATGTGTTCGCATAATAGAATATCCCTTTTTGGATATCTATTGTGTTCTTCATTATGAATAAAGCTCTAATTTGAACTAGGACCCTGTTGAGAGTAAATGGTCACTTTTTAGTGTCACTTTTTTTTTATTGTCACTTTTTAAAAATTTGTCACTTTTTTGAATTTTGTCGCTTTTTTTTAGTGTTTATCATTTTTTTTCAATCACTTTCTTGATTTTTATTTTATTTTTAGTGAAAAACATCAATTTTCAATAAAAATGACATTGCATGTCATTTTTTAATAAATAAAGTGACAATTAACTTTAAAAAAGTGATAGTTTGTCACTTTTTTTGAATTTTATCACTTTTTTTTAGTGTTTATCACTTTTTCAGTCACCTTGATTTCTGTCACTTTTTTTAGTGACAAACATCAATTTTCAATAAAAGTGAGATTGTTTTAATAAAAAAGTGGCACTTAACTTTAAAAAGTGACAATTGGTCACTTTTTTTGAATTTGTATCACTTTTAGAGCGCGTCACTTTTTTTGAATTTTGTCACTTTTTTTAAATTTGTGTCACTTTTTAAAAAAAAAAGTAAAAAAGTGACAATTTTTATAAAAAAAAGTGACATTGTGTCACTTTTTGAATTTACACAGTATTTTTTACTTCCTAAAAATCTTTCACGTGATTTTTTAAAACATCCCTA